CACACACACACACACACACACACACACACACACACACACACACACACAATACGGGTGGAGACTGTAGGACCCGATCAAACTTAGAACATCTTGCCGATGGGATTGATTGATTGGTTTACGGGATCGATTGATTGATTGATTGATTGATTGATTGATTGATTGATTGATACGATACCTGATCTGCATGTAGACAACATGGCAAACAATCTTCTTTTTTTGCAGTATTGCTTCCATTATATTAGGAGCATTAATTAGCCGCAACGGCTCAACCGGGCGTTCTATTCGGGTGGAGACGGTAAAACCCGATTAAACGGAAAACATCTTGCCGATTGGGATTGATTGATTGGTTTACAGGATGGATTGATTGATTGATTGATTGATTGGTTGATTGATTGATTGATTGATTGATACATTACCCGATCCAGATGTCTCTCGAGGCATGGAGACAGCCGCCGCCATACTGGACGCCGCCCCCGCCGCCACGGGGCTGCTGCCGGCAGCAGGAGCAGCGACCGGTAGTCCATCTCCTCCACCTCCCCCTCCCCCTCCCGCTCCTGCTCCAGGACACCCCGTTGCTATTATTAGCTGATTCCGCTGCTGGCCGAAGTCGGGATCGCGATCCGTGCGGACCACTGATCTGGCGCTTTCCAGATCAGCGGTAGACATTCCCATCGGGATCGAGATCCCTGCAGACAGACTCCTCTCGTAAAGCAACCGCCGCCCGGAGGAGATGCCACGTGTCGCCCGCACGTTCCATCCGCCGACCCAACCGTTCCCGGGCGCGGCTGTCTCCTCGTCCCGAGATCCTGCCGAGGACGACAGCTTCCCTAAGCCCGACGACGACGAGAGGTCGAGATCCCGACAGACGGCAGTCCGCGGCGGAAAGAGAAACCCTCTCCACTGCTCTCCGCCGCCGATGAGATTCGGTGGCTCCACGGCCATGGCAACCCGCGCAATCGGGACCGGGGTCGCGATTGCCCCTGCTGCCCCACCCCCCCACACCGCGTGGCTCCCGCTCCTCCTCGTGATCCCGCTTGCCCAGCAACGCTCAGCTTCCATAGCCCCCGCAATCTCCCCCTCCCTCCCCTCCTCCCCCCCTCCTCCCCCTCCTCTTGCACTCTTTTTCTTTTTCTCTGTTTT